GTCCAAGCACTTCAAGTTACAGCTCTTATAACACATTTATTTAGGTTCTGGCTGTCTTGCCCTCGATAATGAACAGTTTTACGCAGAAGCACCTTCCACCTCGCCCCCCCACAGCAGATCCAGGAGCAGAGCTGGTGACAATGACCAGGCCAGAAGGTCAAGCCAGTTTTTCTCCAGGCCAAGGTTCTATCTAGCAGTATTTCTAAGGGTTTCAACCAGCACAGCCACAAAGAAATACACAAAGATCATTGGAAGCAACTGCACAGGCAAATACCAGACCCACCTGAGATCCTAACTGCATCAGCAAAAGTTACTTCATTGACTTTGGCACAGCTGCACCTGCTTGTATCAACCATAAATCTGCCCTCTAAATTTCAGCATTAAATAAGTCTTGGTGGCCCTGCAGCTGCTGCCTCCGTGATTGCCGTGGGTGGTGATGACTAGCCATAAAATGGGGTGCAATAAAAAGCATGCATTGCCACACCCAGCAATGTGGCGGTGCTGTCGAGAAACATTAGTCAGTCATCAAAAGGCAGCAGGTTCCCAGACAAACGGTAGGAGCTACCTCTTCACACAACAAATAGCTAGAAATGAAATGTTCATGTTCAGAGGCTGCGTACCTCTCTGGTTACCAGATGTTGCAGGCAAACAGTGCAGAAGCCATCAACCTTGGTGCTCTCCAGATGTTTTGGACTATTACTCCTGTCAGTCCTAGCCAGAAGAATCAGGCGCAGTGGCCACAGAAAGCTGGCAGACTCAGGCAGTACACCATGAATAATAATAATAATAATAATAATAATAATAATAATAATAATTTATTTATACCCTGCCCATCTGGCTGGGTTTCCCCAGCCACTCTGGGCAGCTTCCAACAAAATATTAAAAATACATTAAAACACCAGTCATAAAAAACTTCCCTCAACAGGGCTGCCTTCAGATGTCTTCTTAAAGTCAGGTAGTTTATTTCCTTGACATCTGATGGTAGGGCGTTCCACAACCGAGAAGGCCCTCTGCCTGGCTCCCTGCAACTTCACAGGGAGGGAACCACCAGAAGACCCTTGGTGCCAGGCTTAATGATGAGGGTGGAGATGCTCCTTCAGGTATACTGGGCCGAGGCCGTTTAAGGTTTAACCTAAAGAGTCATGGGTTCGAGCCCCACATTGGGCAAAAGATTCCACCATTGCAGGGGGTTGGACTGTATGACCCTGGCGGTCCCTTCCCACTCTACAATTCATTGATTCGGTGACTCACACGGGGACACAGGTCCCGCGCGGACAATGAGAAAGCCAATCGGAATGTCCAAAGGGCTTTTTTTTTTATGTCCTGCAACCAATCAGCCCCAAGAATCCGAAAGGGTCGAGAAAACAAAGTCGGCTCATTCACGGGCGTTTTGGCTCGGGGTTCGTTCTTGGCAGGACCAGCCAGGAGCCGTCGGAGGGGGTCATCTTGTCGCCTGGCTCGACTCCCGGTGCTGCGGGAGCACGAACCGGCGCTGGGGGTAGGGCTGCGTTAGGCGAGAGCCCAGCAGCAGCAGCCTCTCCTTTCCCGGTGATCTTCCAACGCCTCGCCTCCTCTTTTGCTAACTGTCAGATAAAGCGCTGCGTTCTTGGGAGAGAGGCAGGAGCAAGAGCGGCAGGTTTCACGAGGGATGATAGCAGATAACCGCGAGGGCTTGGCGGGGAGATAACCCGACGCCAAGAAAGGCGGCCGTGTTGCTTCTCTGCAGCGGGGAACGTCACGCGCACAAGGCCCTGCCTGCGTCTAGCAGGAGCCCCTTCGGAAGATAGGCCGGCCTTTCTACAGCCAGGTCTGGAGGAGGCTGCACCACATCCGGGAGACAGAGGGCCAGGCCTGTACCACAATCCTCCAAGCCGGATGTCTGCCTTTGATCTGGTCCAGAGGTCGGGGTGCAAAAAGAACAAGGAGTGCTGGTGCCGAAGCAGTTTCCTTCCCGATGGCGAATGGTTAGGTCTGGGCTCCTTGGGGAGGAAGGGCGGGATTTAAATTCAATAAGGAATAAGTCAACAAGTGTGCATTTCGCGCGAGATGAGGTCAGAATCCAGCCTTACAGGGTTGGTACAATCCGGAGATGTTGTTTGACTCCAACTCCCATCATCCCTGGCCCTTGGCCATTCCAGCTGGGGCTGACGGGAGTTGGAGTCCATCAACACCGGGATGGCTGCTGGTTCCCCGTCCCGCATCTCGATAAGGCTGCCCGTCAGTTTCAAGCACACAGTTCTCCATTACAGTACTTTCCCTGTGCACCAACAAGCGTCGCCTGCGCATCTTTTCACCCCGATCCAGATCAGAACTTTCAAGCAACTTTCAAAGGACAAACCACTGACCCACAGGAGTCTCCATTGCCTCCTTGTCTCGATGGCTGCGGTTCCAAACATACCCGACGAAATCCCTTTGACATCCGTGGGATTTTCAGCTCGGTTCTCGGCGTGCTTCAGCAGAAAGGGAGTCTCATTGATTTCAATGGGGTTTGCCTCCAAGTCAACATGCTTCAGACTGCAGTGGACTCTCCAGTGCAGAGAGGACTGGATTTCGATCTGCTATACAATTCGTCTCTCTACTGGGGAGTCTTAGTCAAGCTGCTCTCTCCGTCTCACTTTCCCCTATGTGTAAAATGGGAACGATTAGGGTAGTGCTAACAACCATTAGACTTCAGAAACGGTGTATGCAGCAGTTAGGTAGGCATTCGCCTTCGAAAATCCTTCTCGATCAGATAAGCCCAAAACTAGGCTACAATCCTGTGCACGCTTAGAAAGAAACTTGGAACTCAATGCAAGTCTCTCTGTACCACGGAACTTCCAGTCTTCAGGTTTTAGGGGCATTAGTAGTGCTGAGATGATAAAAGGGGGGCTCTAATTGATTTACATTTTGCTGCAGCTTGTTCATTTACCGTTTCTGTGAAATAGTTTTTACTATCTTAAATGCGTTTGCCCTTACAACAACCCTGTGCAGTAATAAAGAAGAGGTGGTTTGCTACTCATTTTGCAGATGGGAATCCAACCGGAATATCCAGACGACGTCGTCCCTGGGCCTGCACGCCCAGTAAACTGCTCTCTAGTAGCTGTTGGTTTTCCTCCCTGGCCACCCCATTACCCTTAGTCTTTCATGCCTCACCTCGGTTGCCTGTGAGCATCCCATGTATCAGAATGTTGTTGCCCTGATCACCTTCGCAAGTGATGGTCCTGTTTCTCAGCGCTTAAAAACAAGTTCCAGGAAAGACGCTTTCGTGAATGCACACATTGCTCTGCAAAGGGATAATGTTCCTCATGCACCGTGACCCCCCACCACTTTTTGTTTTAGCTCACCAAAGGGAAAGTAAAACACTATCATACCACTTTAAACTGTCATGGTTCCCCCAAGAATTCTGGGAACTGTAGTTTGTTAAGCTTTAAATGCAGATGAGGCTTTTAGATACTAAATATTCAGCCCTGGAATATTTATTTTCCTGAAACATACCAAGTCTTTTTGTTTTGTTTTTTTACAAAAGTAATTTTTGTGCATGTACAAGGTGCCTTTTCCTTCCCTGTGATGCATCCTGGCATCTCTCTTAAAAAAATTAAGTGATTAGTTTATTAATTAAAATACACTTGAGGAATATTTTTACCAAAAAATTGGGTCGGGATCTAAAGAACCCTGGGAAATGCTCAGAAAAAGAGCAGCCGTCAGAATCCAGAAAGAAAGGAGTCGAGGTCAGCTACCTCTGCGGGTAACCATTTTCCCCTCCTTGCTCTGCTGGGTGCAAACGGGCAGATTGAAGCGTCTCCTGGTTCTGCTTGGGGAGGCGACTGGTAGGTGGGCCCCGAGCTAGCTTGGAGAGGAGAAGAGCTGGCGCTGCTGTGGCATCTGGCCCAGAAGGAAGGAAAGAAAGGAGGAAGGGGGGGTGATGTCCTGCGAAGCTGTTACATTAAATTGGAAAATCGATTTACTGAATGGCAGGTGTTCGCTACCAAACAGATGGAGAACTTCAAGAAACAAACATGCATTTGTATGGAAAAGAAGCCATCGATTTGGAACCCAGGAGTCAATCGTAATCGTTATACCATTTCCAAAAGGCCTCGTTTTATGAGTTAAACTCTGAATAACAAAAGGAGATGGACGTACCCGGGTTGTAATTGAGCCCAGCCCAAGCACTCGCCCCCACCAGCAAGACATCGCTAGCTGGTTCACTGATTGCCATTTGCCGCTCTGAATTCTGTTTGGGAGTGTGGGGGTGGGGTTTAATGGCAGTGCCGCGTAAGTGGCAAATTCTCTGGGCATGCGCTGTGCCATTTCCGTGTGTGCAGCGCCTAGCACACGGAGACGCAACGTGCAACGAGTACAATAGCTCCACTTGCTAAACATGTGGTTTCAAAGTTTCCTTGAGGCCAATAAGCTTTACCTGGTAGGAAATTCTTTGGGGATTGAGGTCTGCCCTATAAAGAGTTGATTTGAAGCTTGGGATGCAGCGGGTTCAAGTTTCACCACCTCTGCTCCCCCTGTGGTGGGGTTAATTCCATGCGGACTAGTGACAATGATGATATGCGATTGGCTGGAAACGGTTTCCAGTACACACATACACACGCACGCTCCTGGCAGGTTTATTTTTAAAAGAACTCCTGGAAAGAACGGGCATTCGCTTTATAGATCCTACACAGAATTGCACAACTGCCAGGCAAACCAGGGATTCATGTGCTCTGGGCAAAAAACTCGTCCAACCCCTTTGGAGCGACTTACCAGCCAAACCACAAACGAAGTCTGCGAAACGCCCAGCGTGTTGTAATGCAGCCGCTTTTTAAAAAGGAACGAAAGCAGCTTCTAATATTATATTGACATATGGAAATCCCTGAAATCAAATGCGGCTCGATCAGGCAGCAAGATAGCTATAATATATATACTCAGACCCCCCAGTAAAACATTTGAGCGCCTCTCCGCCCCCCTAAGGTGGTGGGCATTGCCATTCAAATAGCGCGCCATGTCATGTGGGGCGGGGCTTACTAACCCCCACCCCAATATATTATTCAAGTGGGCACCCTGCCCTGTATGCCTGTCTTTTCACATGGACAACCCAACCCTTGTCTTTCTACAAGGGCCGCGCGTGCGTGCCCCAGTAGGACAACCCAGACAACAAGAGCCGCGAGAAAAGGCGAGGTCTGGGGCGCCCGCTTAGGGGGCTGCGCCTGCGCCCACCTCCAGCCCCGATCTCCGCCCGGGCTCCAGCGCGCGAAGCAGCGACCGAGGCGACCCTCGAGGCGCGCCAGCCCGGGCTCGGCGGCGCGGCCCTTGCTGCCTGCAGGCGAGCGGGCTCCTCTCCCGAGTTCCAAGGCAGGCCTGTGCCGTGCGTGTGTATGCGGGTGGGTGGATGTGAGAGAGCGCGCGCCTGCCGGGCCCGCTTGCAGCTGCCGGCCGGGGCTGCAGCAGGTGTCCTTTGTGCGCTCCTGCCGGGCCTTGCTGCTGCTGCTGCTCCGGGTGTCTGCAGGCTGCCGGGCTGAGCTGGCGCGGGCCTCGTTGTCCCAGTTGGCACGTGGCGTGCTTGGCTGGCTCGTGGCAGCTCCCCTGGAGCAGATGAGGCACGCGCCGGCCTCATTACAATGAGAATGGAGCCATGTGGCAGCAACAGTTTGCAAATCTCCCCTCCTTCTGTGCGAAGCAGGAAACATTTCCAAACGCTTGTCTCCCCAATCGACCACATTAACACCCCTCGGCGCTCCTCTCTCCAGAGAGAAGGGGGCGGGAGAGCGGGGTGGGCAAGGCTCCTGAGCGGGGGACAGTTTTGAGGCTGCAGAAAACAAAACCAGCAGGCGTGTGTGTGTTTTTCTTCGGGTCCTTTATGACTTAACATCGCGGAATTAAAGGCGCAGTTCTTTTCATCGGAAAGGCGATTTTTAAGGGGGCGGGGATCGGCCGTAAAGGAAACCTGATCGCAAAATGAGACTGAAGACTTGCAGTGCTTTGACAGGGAAAGGCGCCAAAGAAACAAGGTTGACTACCTGGGTGGTGCAGGGGTGAGAGTGTCAGTCTAGTACCTGGCTGACCAGGGTCCAAATTCCTGCTCCACCCTGAAGCTCACTAGGTAGCCTTCGGCCAGTCACTGTCTCTCAGCCTAGCCTACCTCACAGGGTTGTTGTGGAGGAGGAGATCCATGCATGGCACCTTGAGCTCCTTGGAGAAAAAGGTGGGATATAAATGGAAGAAGTGCGTTAATAATGCAGTTCAAGTTTTTGTTTAATGGGGTCTTCGGTGCTGTATCCAAATTTAATTAATTATTGCAGTTATATCATTTATCCCTCCTTTCCTCCATGGAGCTCAAGAATTGCTTTACAGTAGCCTTCCTCAAGCTGCCCTCCGAATGTTTTGGACTTGCAACTCCCATTAGCCCTAGCATGCTTGACAAATGATCAAGGATATTTGGGGTTGTTGCCCAAAACATCTGGAGAGTACCCCGTTGATAGAGATTGATTTACAGGTGTGTCTGTTGCACCCACCCACCCATGATTTCCATTATTCCTCTATGACGGGCGAATGACTGAAAAAGTGATTTGCCCAAGGCCACCCAGTGAGTCATTGGCAGAGGCTAGCCTTTAGTCCAGCTTTCCCATTCATGGGAGATCTCCATACATGAGAGCAGCGCTCTGGTTGTAAACGCCCCCTCATCCCAGCTTGAATTCATTTTTGTCCTGAGCTGAATACACTTAACTAACTCCTAACTCACTAGTGCAGACTTTCCCAACCTGGTGCCCAGCAGATATTTTTGACTACAATACACGTGCTGGCAGGGCCTGATGAGATTTGTTGCCTGATGAGATTTGTTGCAAGGCACTAGGTTGGATGAAGGCTGCACTAGGAAAATTTCTTAATACCGGAGAGCCATTTTCTGTATCCAGAAATCTCGACTACCTGCACACACAGTTTTCTGCCATTCAGCTTGCTGCAGCTCTCCACTGAAGAACTGCAGAAAATGGGTGCTGAGAAAGTAAGCCAGAGCAGGTGGAGGCAGCAGATGTAACTTACAAGAAGAAGCCTTGTTTTTTATTGCAACTCCTCCACCAGGCTGTTGTGTGCTGTACCCTTAGAATAATAGAATTACCGGGTTGGGAGGGTCTCTGGAGGGCATGTAGTCTAGCCCCTTGCTCAGTGTAGGATCTGTGATGCATGATGAAACCAGCACCTGTGGCAGATGGCAATCCGGTCTCTGCTTAAATACCTCCAGCAAAGGAGAGCCTGCCATATCCTGAGGCAGTCTGTTCCCCTGGCAAACCCGCTTTCACTGTTAGGAAGCCTTTGTTAAAGCAGGGGTAGGCAGCGTGGTGCCCTCCAGACGCTGAGGACTACAATTCCCATCGTCCCCAACCATTGGCAATGGTGGCTGCAGCTGATGGGCAGAGTGGTCCAAATCATTTGGAGAACACAGCATTGGCTGCCCCCTCCAAAAGAAAATGAGAAGGAAAGAAAGAAAGACCTGTTCACACTCTGTTGTCAGGATAAGGTTATGCTTTGAGAAACTTTTGTTCTCATTGGGTGATCTAAAATTTAGAGGAAATGACCGTCCTCACATTAGTGCCCATTTAATAAATGTGTCTCAAATGGTAGTGCTGATTATGGCACATGCATGTAAATCTATAAGCCACATCATTTTGATATAACAGGGCTGTGTTTGGGAAATTTGCTCTCTTCAAAAGAGCAGCAAAAATAGTTGCAGGCAGTCCACAACTTAGATAGTTTCTACCCCGGAAGGCAGCTGCTCCCCCAGCTCTCAGACTGGCATCTTTTTCAGCCCGCCTCCAATAAATGGAGACGATTGAACTAGTTATCTTCTGTAGGCATAGCTTGTGTGCTGCAGAAATGAAAGTTAAATGAAAGTCCCCTCTGAACAAACAGCCCCTAATGGATTAGCCCCGACCTATCAGTACACAACAGCAAAGGATACACAACAGCAAAGTTCAGGTGGCTGCTTCCCCAACCAATAATGGCAGCAAAAGAGAATGTAGATCAGAAAGTATCTCAACTAAAGATGTGGTAAAGCTAGTGCTGCAGACACTATTTTTATGCTTCTGCACTGATCCAAGTAATTGGCTTGGACTAGCTATGATCAGCACAGAGACTAACAGGCCCCCTGATTCTGCCTGCCTGCCTGCCACAGATTGGCCTTTCCAGGTGTCCAAACCCCACCACCACCACTTTATAGAAGCAGGCTATTTTTCTTAGGTGGGATCTATTGGCTGTTATTATTTTCCTGCCCCACTATAAAAGGATAAGGTAGAAATGCTGGGATGCAACTCAGCCGGCACTAAAGCTGATGTGTCTGCGTGGAAAAGAGTAGAGGAACCTCCAAGCTTCCTAGACTGTCCTTTTGTGGTATTCCTACACATTTAACCTCTGCCAAACTTCCTTCAGGCTAGACCTACACTCTTAGGGTTGTCTTCTTTCCTCCACATACAGTAGCGGGTGGTGCTGTGGTCTAAACCACTGAGCCTCTTGGGCTTGCCGATTGAAAGGTTGGCGGTTCAAATCCATGCAAAGGGGTGAGCTCCCGTTGCTCTGTCCCATCTCTTGCCTACCTAGCAGTTCAAAAGCACACCAATGCAAGTAGTTAAATAGATTCTGCTTCGGCAGGAAGGTAAATGGCATTTCCGTGCGCTCTAGCACTCATCACGGTCTTCTTTGTGCCAGAAGTGGTTTAGTCATGCTGGCAACATGACCTGGAAAGCTGCCTCGGCCTGAAGTGAGATGAGTGCCATACCCATAGTCATCTTTGACTGGACTTAACTGTCCAGGAGTCCTTTACCTTTTTTTTTTTAACCTTCTTTCCTCCTTCCTTTTCCATGCCCCCCTCATAAAAGGAGATGACTATTTTGGATTTCACTCCATCCAAGATCAAGCATAGTTTGTTGCATCTTCCTCTAGATAGAACTAGGATCCTTCCTATCAAGGATGTATTTCCTGCGATAAACATTTATTATTTTTCAAAACCCAGAGTCTCAGTGTGATTACGTCCAGGGTAAAGTGTGCTCCTCCTGCTGGGATTCAGTATTCAGTTCCACTTCTACCAGGATTTTAACTCCAAATGCCAACAGGATACGCCTAGAATTGCCTCCTTTTGTGGCCTGATTTATCATCTTGTTACAGACTGAGCCTCCTTCTTCCATCATCCATTCTTGATGGGGTTCCCCCGGAAGAGTGGTTTATGATCAGTTGTTAGGTTAACACTTGGTATGATTTAGCTACAACTTCTTCCTATGACTCCAAACCATAGAAGATAGCACAACTTGGGTTTCTGGCTCCTTCCCTTGCCATGGGACAACTCTGAAGTATTTCAAAAGCTGTTAGTGACATGGCCTGGTAGTCTGTTCTTGGAGGCGGATCATTACCAAATGTAAGAGCAGCTCTGCTGCGTCAGGCTAAAGGCCCATCTAGTCCAGCATCCAGTTCTCACAAGGAAGTGAGTCCAAGCTTTCTGGAGTCTGGACTGTAGCTGAACCTTTTTGATTAATGTAACCCAGCACCAGCGTAGCATCAGTCTCCATTTCATCTTCATCATATGAAGGCAGCCCTGTTTAGGGAAGCTTTTAATGTTTGATGATTTTAATATTTTGTTGGAAGCCGCCCAGAGTGGCTGGAGAAGCCCAGCCAGATGGGCGTGGTATAAATAATTTAGTAGTAGTAGTAGTAGTAGTAGTAAAACACTAAATTGTGTAGATTTTGACAACCACCTTCCTCACCACAAAGTGCAGTGGGAGCACAGGGAATCTACCCAGTAAAATTTGCAGCAACTGCTCTGGGACCCGTACAATAATAAATCTTTTATATGTATGCTACGTAAGCACAGGTTGAAATCCAATGTGTGAGGTTAAGCTAATTTCAACTTTTCCATAGTACAAACTGCTCCACTGGACTCATCCACATTCCCGCTTGTCCTGTGCCTAGAAAGTGCGGATCCAAGCAGTTTCCTCTCCCTTGCCCTGCTCCTTTCCCAGGGAAAACGTTATTTAGCACTGAATCAGAGCAAATGCCAATCCAGAGAAAACTCAAATAGCTGTTTGCTCCAATGGAGCACTAAAGAGCGGTTTTCTGTGGGGGAAAGCAGCAGGACAAAAGGGAAGTGTGGATGAGCCCTAAGACTACAGTCTTGAACAAGTTTAACTGGCTGTGTAGATGTTACCATTTGCTGTGGCTCCAGTGCACTCCCACTGCTGGTGTTTGAAACCGAGTCTGCGTGATATTAGCCACAATCCATAGGTATCCTGCAGCTTCTTGAGAAATCTTACTGTCTGATAGGCTTTCCATCAAACCAGCCATTTATCCAATTAGAAAAGCAAGACCCTGGTTATGTTTGGGCATGTACATTTCAGGCAGCTTTTGCACGTCTGCAGATGGAGCTCAACATAAGGAAACAAATCAGGTAATGAGCATTGGGTAAAGACATCTCTGGCTCCTCTCTGCTGTGAACATCAACATGCATGTGCAGAAATGCCATCCAACACGGATTGTGCCAACGGATTGTTCAAATGGAAAAACCTAGAATGGGGTTGTTAAAGAAAAACACCAGTTTGGTGTTCCTTTACCAGTTCCTTTAGTGACAGGTTACTGAAAGGATAATTCAGTTCCTCAGCAGTTACATATACAGTAGTTGTAGCACAAAGTCTGTCCCAACAGCAAAAGTAATAAAAGGTCTTTGCTGCAACATATGCTCCTTGCAGCGTTCCAACACAGATTAGGTTCTACCCAAGGCTATAAATGCAAGAGTATTTATACTCTCAAAAGGTGCAGCTTCAGGTGTATTGCAAGCACACCTAAATTAACCATTTATTATCCTTTTTCTCTGTGTGCATAAATCCACATTCACTAACATTAAAAGGTACTTAAAACAACGTGGGAGAAAGTAACTGCTGCATTTCAAGCTGCTAAGGCGTACATAGCCTTCGTCTCTTAACTAATTGGGATTTGCTTATTAGTCAACTTTCTTAAGGGTTGCACTGCACAAGGGGATGGGGAGCCCTTGGCTCTCCAAGTGTCGTCGGACTTCAACTCCCACCAGCCCCAGCCAGCATGGCCAATTGTCAGGGAGGATGGGAGTTGTCCTCCAACCAGAGGCGAGACACCCCACCACTATTGCAGGAGATGAAATTCAGGAGAAGCTTCCCATCCTTGCACCATGGCACAAAGGTGTGTGGTAAAGTGTTGTTTTTGGAGGCGGTGGGGGAGACCAATTCAGCTGCTTTGGCCCTAGGTACGTCTCTCTGCATCCCACAAATTCTGGAGGATCACATCTGCAGCTGCAGTCCTATACATACCTCCCCAGAAGCAAATCTCAGTGGGACTCCTGAGAAAGCACACATAGGATCAGAGTGTACTATGTTGGCTCAATGGCAGATTTCGATGGCCATTTCCTTCCTTCACATCATGAAGGAACCTTAGCATGATGTCTTGGAGGTCTGCTGCTAGTCAAGAGTCTGGCCTTCTGATCAATAGTCTCAGTATAAGGCAACTTCTGAGATTTACATAGTGTTGAACCTCTTGGGCCGCAATCCTGCATAGCTGGGTGAATTCAATCCAATTGAAGCTAAGGGCCCTAGCCCAGAAGAAGTCTATAATCATGAGTAACTGAAATCCCATTGATTTTAATGGAACATAAAAGGGACTTAACTCATAAGAGTGGCTCAGGACTTGTGTCACTGGGACTCAAGTGAGCAGGACTGCAGTCCAAATGGACTATTAGGCCCTTAAGGGAGATGCTGAAGGCTGTTGTGTGAATAAAATAAAACACTAGCAGTCCATTGACTTGCAGATAAGTCCTCCTTCTTTTAATAGGACTTGTCTTCCGTGTAATTACATTTAGGGATCAGGATATAACTAACTAATTGGAATGCTCCCAGTATTTAATGCTGGAAGTGCCAACAATTACATGAGATGCTCACTGAAGCCAGTCACATTGGTCACTAATAGTTTGCAAACAATTCCCTTCAGGTTATATGGATGTTGTGGCAAGAATTCAAGGCATGAAATTGGAAGAGAGAAATGTGAAACACTTCACATATTTATCTTGTGTCTGCTCCATAATGGCTTCAACAATGAAAACTTACCTTTAAATAGATTTCACTGACAATACTAAAAACCAAGAGACTTCACAATTTTTTTTTTAAAAATGTATATAAGGGACTTAAACAATTACTTATGTATTTAAAAGATTTTTTTTTTGTACTGGCAAAAACTACAGGCACATGCCTCTTCTAAGGTAGCGCTTGCTGCGACTCAACCATATGCATAATTCAAAATAATGCTTTCCCCCCTTCAAAACCATTATTTTATTGGAATGCAAATGTATGCATATTTAATTGACTAATCAAGTGATTAAAAGTCATATGATCAGTCTATTGAGATACATTTAACTGGGTGGCCATCGTAGCTCTCGACTCCTTTACTGATTGTGATTGCAGAATCAGGAAGATATATATGATTATCCTGGATGATTTGACGTGGTGAACAAGAGTTTTGGTCTTGGATTATGGCAGCGAAACAAACAAAGAAGGGAGGCTCCATACAGGTGCTATCTTGTGGGCTCCCATATGGCGGATAATAAGAAAGTGAAGTATACCAATAATTTTAAACGACGGTCGTTCGAACCTGCCCTCTGCAAACTTTTCGATCCAGCTGCCCTTCTGCTCCTCATTGCAACTTTTTTATCTAAATTTTTGGTCAACACAAAGCAGATGGCCCCTTTCGCATTTATTATTTTACCACCGCCTCTTTAATAGCTACAATCACAACGGCACAATAATGCCCTTGACTTTCGAGAAGATTTCACATCTGTTTTGTGCACCATCCGAAAGCGGAGGGATGCTGTTGGGCGACGTGTGCCAGGTCAGGAGTCATTCTGTGGTCGAGGGAAGAAGGAAAGCAGCGAAGAAGGAGAGAGGCCAACTGCGGGCTGAGAAGAAGAAAGAGGCTCGGTTTCACAGGGGCTGGACCCTTGGCCGCCCACATCATAATATTTTGATCGCGGAGGGAAGCTGATGCCCAGAGCGCGCCGATTCGACGTGAAACTCTATCTGCGAAGGTGCTCGCCCAGAGAGAGAGAGAGGATTGCCCTGAGGTTTGGCAGAGCTGTGAAAGAGGAGGAGGAGGAGGAGGAGGAGGAGGGAGAGAGAGAGAGAGAGAGAGAGAGAGACCCGCTTGTTCTGGCTTTAACCTACATTGGCTGGGGAAGGAGGAGAAGAATAGAGCGCGTCCATATGGTAGATGCTGCCTGTGGATCTGCAGCCCCAATGCGGTGCCCGGCTCGTGCGCGCTTGTGCCAGATGGCGCCTGGGCCAAGTGGCCAGGCGTGGGGTGGCTCTGGTTAGCCTCATAAACCTCCAGCACAAGTCCCCAAATCAAAACACACACATACGAACATCTGCTCGGGCCCGCAGTACCCAGCTAGCCTTTCAGCCGCGCATTAAAGAGCCCCACCGCCCTTCTGTTCCCCCGGGGTTAGGCGCTCATTACCATTTACCAAGCACTGATGTTATCTGGCCCCGTGTTTTTATTTAGCGCCCGAGCAGATTTGGTGGGTTGACAGTTGACGCGCTCGCGGGTGAGGAGGCGACCCTGGCTGCTCAGGGGAGAAGTAGGGACCTCCTGCTCTACCTTGCGGACTAGGAAAGAGCACCCATCGCCCTGTGATCCTGACTTGGGAGCGATACCCCCACCCCCATCCCCGAGACCAGCCGGTGGGCATCGAAGGGGATGGTGTCTTGGGCACCTGTTCCCTGGCACAGGCATGGGGCGCTTTCTCAAACATGTAGGAAAGGAAAACGCTCTGGGCGTGGGGTCTTCTCCGGAGAAACTTTGCTCTGCTACACCAAAGCATGACCAGCCTGTAGGTTACACTCCGCTGGAAAGAGCGCGAGAGGGAGACGGTAAGTGGAAAGGACCCGGGTGAGTTTTTCCAAGGAAACCCTCTCAAGGTGTCTTCTCGACGAAGGATTAAAAGAGAAAGGGGACACTGTGCGCGCGTAGATGGATCCGTGCAAGGGACCCCGAAATCCTCAAGCCAAACACTGGAGGAGATCCCGAGAGAAGCCACACTCGTACAGGGAATCGTGGCTTTTTCTCGCTGCAGCGTTGGGTTTTCATATTAAATCGACAGACGCTCAGCAGTTCATGGGCAGGGCTTTATAAAGGGGGGGGGGGAGAGAGAGAAACTTTCTAGAGTCAAGCAAGATCAGCAGAAGTTTACATCCATTTCGAAACAAGTGATTCCCCCTCCCCTTCCCCCAGGAGCCATCTGGCAGGCACACTTTAAAAACAAAAACAAAAAACAAAAAACCACCCATCCCTGTTAGTACATCATATCCTAAATCAACATTTTGCTTTGGGTCCTCCTCGGCTTTGTAAGGCAGGCGTTTCTCATGCCGCACACAAACACACAAAAGTTGCTCTTTTGAAAGCAAGTGCATGGGGCGATCCTGTCTGGTTCAGGCAGAAACCCACACCTATGTTTATGTTTTCTCGCCTCAAAATAAAACAAGAGTATTCCCTAAGGGCTGCCTGGGAGACACCCACTGTTTCCCAAAACAACGCACCAACCGGTTATTTCACTTATTTTTTATTAATTTTTTTACAGGTGAAGAGAAGCGCGGACAGGGGCTGGCATAAAGGTGGCAAGACCTCATTATCATACAGCTGAAGGTTTATCTTCTCTCCCCCCCTTCCCCTCCCTTTTTAACAAGCTGAAATAAAAGCCACATGAAAGGCCTTCTCTGTGCTTGGCTTTAATGAGGGACACGCGACCCAACAATAAGCACACATTGCAATCAGGCCAAGGGGTTTATTGGCACACACCAGCCTGCAGCCAGGATACAATCTGAGCCGGCGCACCGCTCCGAGGAGGGAGGAAGGCGGGCAAGCAAGCAGGCAGGCTGGCAGGCTGCAGGGCTCTCCATTCACACCACGGGGGATGTTGCCCTTGGGACAGGGTTGGTACCCAATGCGTGTTCCTCGATGTCACGGAAACCGAACCCTATACGGTTACGATTCTCCTGTTGATGAAAATAACTGCCTCCACCGGTCCTCACCTGAGAGGTGAGAGCAGCTTCCCTCGGTCCAAGGAGAGTCAGCTGGTGGGGTTTGGGGGCGCAAATGGTAGGGCTTTGGGAGCCGCAGGAGGAGCATGGAAGAATATACCAACTTTAGAGCAAAGCCACTTTAATTCGTCTAACTCTGTCCGGAGGCAGCGCAAGGGTTAATACGTCGTCCTGCCCCCTCTCCGCTCTTACGCGTAGGGGCTGCAGATAGAAATAGCCACAGGGTTAGGGCACACAGGTGCGCCGGCCTCAGAGCCCTGTGAATCGAAGTGATTTGCCAAACAGCCCGGGGGAAGATGTTTGGAGGGGTGTGGAAATCCGCAGCAAGGTTGGCCTTTCGATTTCTCAAGAACTGGCGTCAGTTCTGGTTTCTTACCTGCTCTCACCTGGGCAGGTAACACTATATGGGCAAACAAGAGTGCATAGGATGGGGAATCTGTGCGCCCCGAAGTTGTTGGACTCCATCTCCCCTCACCTATAACCATTGGCCATGCTGGCTGGGGCTGACAGGTGTCGGAGTCCAGCAAAACATCTGGAAAGCCACGAGTCCCCTAGCGCTTTGGACTCCATTCGCCTTCCTTCAGGAAGCATGCAGCGCCTCGTCTTTTCGAGCCTGAATGAGAAGGGTACTCTTTTCACAAGGCAAAATCTTTCCCCGGTTGCCTGCCTCCTCCTTCCCCTTCGCGAGGGCTCCGTCTCCGTGGCGAGCGCACTAAATCTCTCAACAGATGCTGGGGCATCTTCATAATCAGCTCGGCTCCTTGGTGGTCAGTGTGGAGCAGCAGCAGCAGGGTATTAATTCTGGATCTGCGGGCTCTCCACCACATTGGGTTCCTTCTTCCAGAAAGATAAGGGGGAGGGATCTCCCGAGCCTGACGGACAGTTTACATAATGAGCTTGCGAGGCCAGGAGGCAACTATATAAACAGCGCGAAGGGAAGCCAGCTTTCCACTCACGGAGCGAGCGCAGGAGCAGCAGCTGAGGTCGGGGAAAGGAACGAGCTGCTGCCGCGCCACGCTCACACGCCCCTCCGCCTCTCTCCTCCGGGCTTGGGAGTTTTATAAACGACGGGATTTAACCCTCCGACCACGCCGATGCTTTAAAAAGCAGCCCCACTGGATTATACCTTCCTCTTCGTCTTGGGGAGTACTTGGAAGGGAAGCCTCTGACCTGCATGCCACGACTTGGGAGAGCCAGGCAGCAGCAGCAGCAGCGCATCTTTGGACCACCTGAGGAATACGAGCGAGCCTTGAAAGCTCAGCCCGGGAGGAATTAAGCAAATCGTAGCGGGAGGATGGCAGCCTTGCGCCTCGTGGGCTTGACATTGGCTGTCGCGGTGACGCTGCAGGTAATGATGTTGGCACAGCCGTCGGGGGAATATATATATATTTCTATATGTGTGCATGGGGAGTTTTTTCTTTTTCTATCTGGAAAGTATTGGCCCCAAAGGGAACAAGCTCGGGTATAAGCTCTGCTGTTGTGTGTGTCTCCCCTTTGCGCAGAAGGTCTCCGGCTCGGGCGTCTTCCAGCTGGAGCTGCGGCACTTTGCCAACGGCCAAGGCGCCCTGGCGAGCGGAGAGTCGTGCGGGTCCGGCTGCAGGACCTTCTTCCGCGTGTGCCTGATGCATTACCAGGCGGTGATCTCGCCGGGCGACTGCACCTTCGGCAGCATCGTGACCCCGGTGCTGGGCATCAACTCCTTCGCCATCCGGGAGACCGAGGGCTTCGGCAGCCCCATCAAGTTGCCTTTCAACTTCACGTGGCCGGTGAGAGCTCACCTTCAACAGCCTTGGAAAAGCGGGGCGGGGGTTGAGCGAGGAAGTCGAAATAATAACAATAAAAAAGCAGAGGCCGCCGTGGTTCAGCTGCAGGCTATATAAACAAACCCTGCGCTCGACGTTTTGTTTCCATAACTTGGTGCCATGTAGAAAGCTGCGCTCTAATTGCGGGCGTTGCAAATGCATGTCGGAATAGAACGGCGAGTTGCTCAAGGCGAGTGAAATGTGCACATTTTGAAGCTGGGGGAAAGTTGCCTTCCACGAAGCTGGGGTGGGAAGGGTCGCCTTGGGGAGGCAGGGAGAGGACATTTCTTCCTCCTGCACCCTGGTCAGAGGCGAGACGCCTTTTCCCAGGAGATGAAAGCAGTCCTCCGGAGGAAGCTCCATTTCATCGACTCAGACAAAGTAATGCTATCTGCAATTAGATTAATTGAAATGTATATCTACCGCCAGGTAGAGGTTTTCTGGTTTCACCCGATTGTTTTAAATCTCTGAGGCCGACAGTCCCTTTCCGATCACTTATCACTAGAACTCCCCGCTTGTCTTAGGTTCTGTGCCTTCCTCTCACTCCTCCTTTCCATTCACAGGGAACTTTCTCATTGATCATTGAAGCCTGGCACGCTCCCGAAGGTTACAATCCAGCAGGTGAATATGGCCGTTCCTTTCCTACTCACTAGGGGGCGACAGCTTTTCAAAACTTGCAGCTTTATGCAGAAGCCAGCTTAAAAAAACAACACAAAATAGCTAAGTCTGCCAGCACAGTTATTAAATAGCTTCCACCTAAGCTACATAAATAAATAATGTTTTTACTTATTGCATGTAAGTTCAGAAAATATTTTCGATGCTTGCTTTAATTTGCAAGGCAGAGCTGTTCCCAACATCTTGATGGGTTTTGCTTTGATTTTGTCCCCCTACTTAATCTCCACACAATTGCGTTTCCTCCCGTTTATTTTTGGCGTGGGAAAGAAAGGAGCTCTTTGGTGAGAAAACGGCAAGGCTGCCAAAAAGTCCTGACTGCCTTTTCCTGTATTTTACACCTTTTTCAAATTCCGCCCTTTGGAAAAGGAATAATGGCTTTGGGATGTTTTTCTGACATAGAGGAAAAGGATATTTCAACAGCACAAGAGCTCTTACTTTGAAAGGCTTTCTGTAAAGCTTCTCAGGACCACAGCTAACAATAATGGATACTAAAGGCAAAAGAGAACAGTGCTTTTACACTGGTATCATGTGACCCCTGACCCCCTAATTACTGCAGCCCAGTGGTTGAGCCCCAAATGTCTCTATATACTCCTGGCTTATTAATATTTTAATCAACATTATTTGGCACACTGCTTGGGCTGAATAATGCAATTTTCTCCCTCAGTTTAATTTCAGTGGTAACACATTGTCACAAATGCCTTTTGAGGGCCAGGTTGATTCTCTTTATGTGGCATTATTAGGATTGCTTACCTTCAATCCCGCCCCCTAAAACAAAATCCTTCACTGTTTTTAATTATATTGAGCATGTTGCAATGAGCATTGCTACTTAAAAAAATATGAGGGCACCAGCTGATGAAATCTATTGCACAGAGTCTGGGCTTGTATGTTGGGGCTAGAAGATTGATGCTAGACGCCATCGCTAATTACGGTGACACTGGAGAGGAAGCACAAGCTGGCGTGTAATGTGAGAATGTTTTAATAAGGGCATAGTGTGTGGTAGCACTGTGCATGTTAGCATGGGCCAGAAGGACACTGTGTGGGAATTCTTCCTTGTTGTGAACAGCCAAGGCACATCAGATGAGAGGAGCAGTTAAGTGCCCAGTGTGCTTTAACATAAGGGATGAACTGTGAGCAGAGTTGCCACCTGCATCCAGCAGAGCCGTTGTGACTGAAACAACTGTATTGCAAGGCAGAACTTCAGCAGGTGTAGCATGTCTCCACAGGGAGAATGCCAGGATGGAAAATATTTTACATGTTGGATTTCTGCTTATTATACAGCCGTTAAACGGATGCCCTGCCACCCCACCCGCTGGGGGGCAAGTGGCAACTAACCTGTGAGGATGCAGTACCACACTATGGGATGGGTTCTGTAAAACAAGAGTGCAAATAGTCCTTTGGGATGTGAGAGAGGATGCAGAGGTGGCATGCGAAGAAGGTTAAAGTATAGCAGATGGACTGAAGCTAGAGGATGGTGTGAGATAGGGTGGTGACTGTCAGTGCAAAGCTTTTTATTATATTTTAAAGAGATGTGCTTCTGCATGCAATCCAAAACCTTATCACCTGCCTCTATGCTCTGTTTATTTCCCCCCTTTGAGTGGTGAGTGAGTGGCACTCTGCACGTGCCCAGGGGCATTTCTTCACGCATTCCGGATTCCGCAGTTGAGTCTGGCGCAAACCAAAGACCTTGTTGGTCCAGGGGCCTTGGATGTGGCTAGAGAGGGAGACGGGGCTCGGGAGAGTATCCTGTTTCTCCCTCCAGGCCTAACCTAGCTTGTGTCCTTCCCGCCCCAGCAGGATCCAAGCCCCCTGCCCGGAAGTGGCTCATCAGCCAGATGGCGATCCGGCGCTCGCTGGCCGTGGGCGAGGCGTGGCTGCCGGACCAGCAGAGCCACGAGTGGGCCCGCCTCAACTTCTCCTACCGCGTGGTGTGCAACGAGCACTACTACGGCGACAACTGCTCCCGCCTCTGCAAGGACCGCGACGACCTCTTCGGCCACTACGTCTGCAAAGCCGACGGCACCATGGCCTGCCTACCCGACTGGACGGGGGACTACTGCACCGACGGTGAGCGAGGCCGCCCTTCCCGCCCTAGACTTCCCCCTCCCTCCGCCGCCCCCCCCAGCGACCAGTTGGCGCGGAAAACGCGCGGGCGGGCGCGCAAACTGCGCCTCGAGGGCAGGGAAAGGCGCGACAGCTCCCCCTGCCGGTCGCGGGCGCCAACAGCCGGCGGAGGGGAGGCAAAGAAAGCAAAGCAACCCTGACGCCCTCCCTAGGGAGACACTGCGCGTGCGCGAGCCCTTGAGGTCGGCGGAGGGGTCGAAAGGGTCGGGGGCGAGAGGGCTGAGGGGATTTGGAAAAGGAACTTGTGAGGGTCGAGGCAGAGAGAGGGATGGAGACGGGGTTTTGTTTAAACTCATAGGCAGGACGGCATGCGGATGCGTTGCTGTGTCCTTGCAGTTCCAGCTGAGAACCAGAAATGTCTCACTGGCCTCCTAACCCCGTTATGAGCGCTTCATAGTGATAACATGGACAGTTATAATATGAGGAAACGGGCGCCAGCGAAAAGTCTTACCTGGAACGAGACGAATAAGTTCCTTCTTAAAGCATAAAAATAGTATTTTTTACAAAAACACCCACTGCCATAGATTCGAGATCAGTTTCTTCTCTCCATCCCTCGAAGTGTATACACACAATTTACAGATTAAATGGTTCTCCTAAATCCAGTCTTCAAATGACCAAGATGCACTACTGGACATCAGTTCTTTGATGCAATTGTCTTTGGAATTAATTAATTAATTAATTAATTCTAATTATTACACACAACTGTGATTTGAAAGTTTCTATAAGGCTGCAGCCAGGCATTGGTTTTACTGATTTGCATTACTTACTCTCTGGGACCATTTCTTACATTTAGAAGGCCTTTGGCAATTTCCTAGGCTCCATAGAAGTGGTTCTCAAAATTATATTCTGTTCTGCTACCATTTATGATGGCTGCAGGTGTGCCCAATTTGATTGCAGACCTCCAACTCTAAGCAAGTCAGTAGAGCAAAAATGCCACTCCATTCATTTGTCTGGGTGAGGTAGTGTATGTGCAATAATGGAAATGAATGGGAACCACAGTTGTCTCCACCCCCATTCCCTTGGTACTAAAGAATCAGGGGAATGTAGCTCCCTCATAAATGGTTCTTTTTCTTATTGCACCTGCTCCTGGGGCCATCGAACCATTTCCTGCATCTGTGCTTCACATCATTTCCACTCCCCACTTTGCAACTACTGTACTTTCAGTCAGCCAGCTTTAGAATGTCCCCAGTATCTTGGCTTAATGTTCTAGATAACAAGAACTGTAAAAGGTATTCTCAAGTCTAATTTTACATTTCAAAACACTCCCAGTTGCCAGGGCAGCTTCTTAGTGAATTTCTTACTGGCATTTTAACTATGGGTTCAGGTACATATAAGAAGTTTAGAGTTTTTTTATTGCTAAAGTTGTGTATGTGTGTATCTCACAGCTATCATCAAAACTGATGGCAGTGCAGCTGTAGGAATTCTAAAAATCCAACCACTTCTTGTTTTCATTGGTCTTAGGGAACCAAGTCGATATTTGTTGACAAAACAAAACAAAAAAAACTCCTGGCCTAAAGGAAATTTCTTTAAGAACGGTGCTGGTGCTACAGGTTTCTTCTAGTTCTCTGCCTTTAAAAAGCAAATCAAATGTTGAATTCACAATAATGCATGTAAATTACACTTGTTTTATACATAAAATTGTACATGTTCCCACTTCACATTGATTTACATAATTTTGAGCATGGCATATGAGAATCTTTGGAACAGAATTTGAATTTTTGTTTAGTGCAAAATACAACTGTAAGCAATTGTGGGCCATTCACTCCCTGCCTCTGGGACAGTCACTGCTTCTCAGGATTGTCAATGAGAAAACATGTTGACCATGTTTGCACGTCATAATAAACCAGAGTTAATGGTTTACTGGACTCTTTTGGTCCTCCCTGCCAGCGTGCAAGAGGAAACAAAATATTACCCTAGCTTAGCATTATACCCAACAGGGATCAGGATTTGTTTTGCTGAAACCATGGTCATTAGTTTGGGGGCATGAAATAAGCCACAATCCCTGATTCAAGCATAATGCTAAGCCAGGGATCGTGGCTTGTTGCCAGATCAGCAGCCCAGATAAGCGTTTACAGTAAACAGTTAACTAATATTTACTGTGATGTGCAAACTAGGCTGCAGTCTTGAGCTTGTTGGATACAAATACAATAATAAATACTTTGAAATGCATTTTTGAAAGTATTAACTTAAACTTTTTTTCCCCCATTGAAACAGCTATCTGTCTAGAAGGGTGTTCAGAGAAAAATGGATTTTGCAGAAAGCCAAGAGAGTGCATGTAAGTAGTTGCTGTATTAGATCTCAATGTGATGAACAGTATATGATCCCACTTCTCTCCCTTCTCACTTTACTCATTTCAGTGGTCATCACTGATAAAATTCCCTTTGACTTCAAGTAAGCTCAAAGTATTCTAACAGTTACCTCAGACATTTCAATTGTTTCTTTTCAGCTGCCGTAGTGGTTGGAAAGGCCGTTACTGTAATGAATGTATCCCTCATGTGGGTTGTCGCCATGGGACCTGTACAAAACCAGGAAAGTGCATATGCGATGAAGGCTGGGGAGGCCTTTTTTGTGATCAAGGTTAGTTGATGTAGTTATAACAAAAATGCATTAATTTTAATGTGTCTTTTTCTTGCTGATAAATTTCTTAAGCAGAAATTTAACATTTTAGGTTACTGCAAGAAGTCTAACTAATAGACTTTGAATCTGATTGTCTTGGATGATTGTGGCCAAATGTCAAAATTTCTCTTAAATTCTTCTCTTTCTGTAAAAGTGGTATATGTTTACAGGAACACTCAAAAGTATTCACACATATTTTTCTTTTAAGTATATATACTGCACATTTAGTCTTGCCTCTTATCCCTTATAAAAACTGTATATTTAGTGATCTATCATATACAGTACTTAACTGAGGCAGTTTTCTAAACATATGGTATCACAAGCAAACAGAATCTGGCTCTTCCTTATATTTACTTATGGGAATATTCTTATATGACTAATGCAGAATTTAAAATAAATGGAAATTGGGGAAAATCTCCAGATTCTGTTTCAAGGGACAGGCTTGACCATGAACCTGACATGTTTCCATGATCTCTGATGTAATCTCAGTTGAATAACTATGGTTCTCCAAAGTCATATCTGCACTTTAAACTGGGGTTACAAGTTCTTTTGCTACAATGGAATCCTTATGCAGATATGCAATTATTTAATTTATTAACCACATGCATGGTCAATATATTTCAGGGTAGTTATACCACCTATGTATGATTGAACATCCTAAGAAACATTTCTGAACCTTGTAGAAGAAACCTTGTCTAGAGAAAGCCTATCTAATGAGAATGTTGGAAGTGTATAAACTTACTAGTATCTTTTTCAACTTGATAAATGCACATTTAAATCCCTTTATTGCTAATAGCTTTAGGCACCTACAAAGACAAGTATTAGCTCCAAATGCAGTACAGTTAATGGCTTATCAGCCCACCCAGATTCAAAGCAAAATCATTCTTATAGCCCTAAGGATGCATATATACAGTAGTTATTGCAGGATATGGCCTTTTCTTGGCCTATCCGTTTAAGGGTATTTTAATTGGCCTAGCAGGTGAAATGCTGATTGATCATCTATCATTACGTAAAGTATGCCATTTTACCTTGGTTATATTCATGATACTAAAAGCTCATATTAAGCTCATAAGACCATTTCCTTCCATGTCCTTTTGATATACCAGATTATGAACAAAAGTGAGGGCCACCAGCTGACTATCTTTGTTTTTTGTCTTTTTGCACATGGAAAGGTTTTAAGCGTTACTCATTGTGGCAATGAGAACTACATTGTGGGGAAAGTACTGAGCTTATGCACCCCCAGGATAAGTTTATTTTAGGCATTCCTAAAAGTCCTCCTGGCTGGGGACACAAATTTCCATTGATTCTATTGAACAATAAATTGAAGGTGTTTTGGTCAAAGTCTCTGTTCTGCTACTTCTAGTGCCTCATCTTTTTTGTTCTTTGTTAAAACGTAACTATCTCATTGTCATGTTTCTGTCCTTGCAGATCTGAACTACTGCACCCATCACAGACCCTGCAGGAACGGGGCCACCTGCATGAACACTGGCCAGGGAAGTTATACATGTTCCTGCAAAGAGGGTTTTACTGGTGTCGACTGTGAACGGAATATCAGCGAATGTGACAGTAACCCCTGCAAGAATGGAGGCAGTTGCACAGTAAGAACTAATTATATGTTGGGAATTTGTTTGTGAAAAGAGAAAAAGCAGCTTTCCATATTTATATCCTGTCCATCCACCAATGAGTTCGGGGTAATATGCATAAATATACTTAGTATATATTCACAATACCCCTGTCTGACAGGTAAAGAGGAGGGACTGATTGACTGGTTACAGTATTTCTGTGCCCTCCATTAACCAAGGGTCTGGGGAAGGAGGGTGTACATTGTTAAAATACAGTACAAACAATAAAAGCAACACATTACAGCAGAAATAAATCAAGAAAACCAACCACAGGCAGATCTTTAAAATTTAAAGCAAAAATATCAAAATCTATTAAAAGTCCCTAAAAAGCCTGGGAGAATTTTAAAATAGCCTTTGCCTGACACTGAAGGGAATACAGAATAGGCTCCAAGTGAGCCTCTCTAGGGAAAACATTCCAGAACCAGGATGCAGTTCCTGAGAAGGCCCTTCCTCCTAGCAGCCTCTTGCTATTTTGAGGGCCTCTGATGATGATTTCAAGGTAGATAGTTGGTGGATACCATCTTGGAGACTCTTCCTGGCCACTGGGGAAGGAGAAGTTAGCAGGCACTGCGGCATTGGCAAAAAAAGGGTGGGGGTAGCGCTGGTGCAAATATGGTGGCACCCCCGGTTATGGCATAGAGGGGCCCTGAAGCTCACATAGGGCTTGCACACATACAAAAGCAAAAATATTACTGATCCCCCTGCATAGTCCTGGCCTTCAGTGTTATACAAAACACATCTATCTGCTTCATGTACCTTCTTTTAGCTACACAATTATACTGCAAGTAGTATTTTCAGTCTGTCTTACATCACTTTGGTAGTGTCTGAGTATGTACAGTCCATAACAGGTTACTAAGTCTTATTCCCTCAGTGCTCTTTTTAGTAACCACCAATAGTTGAGAAGTACATTGTTGGTATGAACTCAAGTCTCTTTGTAGTAGTGTCACTTAATTTATACTGTGCATTTACTATTTAATCTGCAAGACTCTTTAGTTGTGTTTTAGCTCTGCTTGGTCCCCAAGTTACTACTTACCTGGAGACCCAATCTGATTCCATTTTAATTTAATTTGTTTTGGGTGCATCTGCTTTCACATCTCTGAAAGTTTATGTCCCTTTGAAAAATGGACAGGAAATGTAACTGAAAGCAACTAGTTTGAAGGAGCTAAATTTTATATATTCCTTATTTTCCCCCCACAGGATTTAGGGAAATACTACAAATGCACATGTCCCCCAGGATACGATGGTGTTAATTGTGAGCACAGTGCCTTGACTTGTGTTGATTCTCCATGTTTTAATGGTGGCACATGCCTAGAAAGAGAAGGAGGAACCAGCTATGCTTGTATTTGTCCTATGGGCTTTACAGGATCCAACTGCGAAAAGAAAGAAGACAGGTGTACCAACAACCCCTGTTCTAATGGTAAGTCCTTTCACCGGAGGAGTTTCATCTTTGGGGACAGACAATAATGAAACTTTAATCTGATTCTGTGTTCCTCCCTTGATCTGTCAGTTTTCTTTTCCTATTATAAGGTATACTTTGCACGGTATATTTTCTACTTACTTGTGAGGTTTATATTGCATGTTACATGGAATTGCATATTTTTTCTCCACATTTTTAAAAAAAGAATCAGCTTGGGCTGCCTGGAGGGGGAAAGAGTCTCCTTAATCCTTTCCCTCCAGTGATTCTTTCCCCCCAGCTCAAAATAACTCTTCCCAAGTTGCTCTTTAACTCACAGGGTGGAGGAGTAGCTTGCAATGCTGTTTGTTTATATACATGACCACTTCATAAGACTAGAGTATAGGGGTTCTCAAATAGGTCTGTAGACCACTAGTGATCCACAAATGTTATTCAGGTGGAACAGTGTGTCTGTAAAAATAGAATTCAAAATAATACAACATCTAGCGTAGTGCATTATAATTACTACAACTGACAGAAAAATCCATAAGTGCCTCCAAGACCCTCTGCAATTTTCATGTGGTCCATCGGGGGATTTTGGAAGCGACTGATGGACCATCTGACACCCATTTTTGGTTTTCTAAATCTTAGTTCTGTACTGTATCTTTTCTTCTTGCTTTTCTGCAATCTTAGCTGTCGCTGGACCTCTTGTCTACGTTCCCTCATTTCTGCACCTTCTGTGTCTAGAAAAGTCTCCTTGCGCATCAAGTCAATATTTCCCAATTGATATCTTTTCCCACAACATTTGCCACACACATTCTGTGATGCCTGCTACTTGCTTATGTCCTCCTACTTCATTCTTGATGATTCTCTATCAGGTTATGTCTTCTCCTCAGCTTTGCCCTGTTGGCTGCACTACTACAGGGTGAATCTTTTAAAAGAGGCCCTGTGGAACATGTGTACACTTTATCCACAGGGCCTCTTTTAAAGGACTCACCCTGTATATTCTAGTGCCTGGGTAGTCTTGGTCTTTGTTCCTGTGTTCAGTGCAACACACAGCAGTCACTAAATAATAATAAAAAAGACATTCCTAATCAAACTTTTTTTTTTTTTACTGCGCTCTTCTCTACAGGTGGGCAATGCTTTGTTTTGGGCCAGCAACACGTGTGTCGCTGTCGTCCTGGTTTCTCCGGTCAGAAATGTGAGATAAACATCAGCAAGTGTTCCAGAAATCCATGCACCAATGGAGGATCTTGCCATGACCTTGTGACTACACACGATTATACATGTACTTGCTTGCCAGGCTACGCTGGCAAAAACTGTGAAACCAGAACTAGAGATGAGTGTGCCTCTGAGCCCTGCCAGAATGGGGGAACATGCTATGTTGGACTTTATCCTACTACTTTTGCTTGTCACTGCCCTTCTGGCTTCATGGGCAGCCATTGTGAATTTCCAGTGCATCCAGTTTCAGAGCCTCCTAAACAGCTTCCTTGGGTGGCCATATCCATGGGAGTCGGGCTAGTGGCTCTTCTCATTTTGTGCTGCATGATAGCTATAGTTATCCGGCAGATGCAGAGACAGCCAGAACAGAATTCAGAAGCCATGAACAACCTGTCTGACTTCCAGAAGGAAAATCTCATCCCAGCCTCTCAACTTAAAAACACCAACAAAAACAAAGACCTTGAAGTAGACTGCGTGCTGGAGAAATCAAACTACAAACTTAAGAATCACACATTGGATTATAACCTGATGAAGGAACTGACAAGTAGAGGGGCTCAGGAAGATAAATATCATAAAAGTGAAAAATGTATAGGAGAGAAATCACCCTTCTGGTTACGCAGGTATGAACACCTTCTAAAGAAATCTAATTTCTCTGCATCTGTGAACAAGGAAGGCTATGTAGTGCAAAGAACAGGAGTAGGGCGCAACTCATAAATGTGTTGGATTCTGAAAAGCATGGAAAGTGGATAGCTCTGACATTTTAAATCTCATGCAGAGTACACTTCGCTTACAGCAACAGAGGAGCGTTGACAGTCTATCAAGTTTTGGAAATAGTTTACCTTCCTTAAAACTTAAATAAAATAACATTATGGTAAATGCCTTGGCCCAACCCATGTTATGGCCAGGTTCAAGGCCAATCCTTTAGCTAGATAGGTGGTAGGATTATGTTGTAACAGATTCCAAGAAACCATTATCTAAGGGCTTGAAAGCAACTAATGTTTGTTCTTAAGTTTATTTTTGGCTTATCGCTCATCGTCAGTTTAAAGCAAACAATTCATGGTCTGGGATTGAATGATGTGATTAAGTCATACTATGGCTTGTTTGAGCTACATGGGGCAAGTAGGGAGAAGCCACACAAGGGGTCTACGCAGCAGAGGCACACTCACAATTCAACCATGGTTTAAGACAAACTGTGTCTTATCATGACATGTGAGGCAGGGCTGCATGCGTTTGTTCCTGTCAAAGTTGTTTACTTCACAAAAACACCTCTACCCAGATCCTTTTTGAACTGCTCACCTAATTTAATTGGTCTTGTGAATGTGAGGAAATGCAGAGAGCCAAAAAGAAAGTGCAGCCAAGTAGTTCCAAATTCTATCTTTTAATGCAGACTTACAGCCTTTACATAAAATATTTAAAATTTTGTGCATCTACTGCACCTAGTAAGTCAAGCTGATTTACTTGGTTCAATAAAACACAATGAATGCTACTTGAAACCAGGCTACTCCCCATATGCAAGTTTCAGCCTGGTCATAGTTATTTGGTCATAGAAGACTGAGGTTGTCATTGGTTGGAAACTGAATTTTTAAATATTTGCTGTCGTTCGTGGCCTAAGCTACTGTAAAAGATCCTTTCTTCAGTTTTAACACATGAAACAAGAACATTTTGCTTAGAATTTTTATCATGGTTTTTTGTTTTCAACAGTGAGAAGCCAGAATGTAGAATATCAGCTATATGCTCTCCAAGGGATTCCATGTACCAATCTGTCTTTGTGATAGCAGAGGAACGAAATGAGTGTGTTATAGCCACAGAGGTATGTATGTTGCCTACATAGATTTTAATTTTTGCCACCCGCCTATCTCAAGAGACAGCGGAAGAGTGTGCCATTGGGGCTAAAGTCAAACTGTTGGAGTGTTACAGCGTCCGCTGTTTTAATTACTTAAACATTTCTATATTGCTTTTAGCTCCAAAAAGAGCTCTGAAAGCGGCTTACAACAATAAATATCAATACAAACAAAAATGACATTCAAAACAAAAATTAAACAGAGATAACAACACATATTAAAAGACGGAAAATGTCTTGACCACCTACCTGACAATAAAGAAGGGGCCAGTGTATTCTTCCTTGGTGGCAGTTCCACAATCGGAGTGCCATCACCGAAAAGGCCCTGCCTTGGCTGCAGAACATAGAGCAGAGCCCTGGAAGGTGGCCACAACTGACAAGCAGGTTTATGCAGAGAGGGGTGATTCTTCAGATATCCTGCTCCTGAGCTATATTTGTCACCAATAGTCATTAATTTATAGAGCTAAGGTCTCATTTTTTAATAATAAAAATCTGAAAAGAGAGCAATGTAGTTTTAGACTTTCAGGCATCATTTCCATACATCTGGCAAGTAGTGAGTAGTAATGGAACTATTTCTAGTGTTGCTCAGATCATTCCTGCAAACAATACTTAAGAAAATAGAGAAATTAATGGGTTAGTTTCTTCAGGGTTTTTTTGTTTCTTTTTTAAGGTCTGAATCCCAGAGTAAAGACTTTGGCTTAATCTCTTACTTCTGAAACCAGAATTCTGCATTTTCACTTCCCACTCTAGCACCCCACACCTCCTGAAAACCTGTTTCAAAAAGGCATGGAATGTGGAGCAAAGGCATACAACAGGAAGGGGATATTGATAAAATTCATGCCAGTCCCCTTGCCCTCACTTGACAGCATCAGGCCAATTATCCCGCTCCCATCTGGTGGCCCCACTGCTCCACAAAGCTCTGCTGCTACTGCTGGGGAATTTGGATTGCAACTTTAATTTGTATTTTGAATAGCACTGCCTGTTTCTAATTTCTCCCCCTCCCATTTGTTTATAAACAGGTATAAGAATGAAGGTCGCTCTGTTTGCACCTCAGTGTTGGAGATGCCACAAGGTGGACATTCCTGCTAATTGTTTACAATTCACAATTGGATTGGACTTGGATTTTTTTAATTATATGCAATTTGCTGCTCTCAGGAGGAGGAGAGGATGGAAGTGGGTGAACTGGACAGACTGTGAATTTAAAGATGCAATAGACCTTTGGGCCCCCTGTTCCCTTATTTTGAAGTCTGATAGGAGGAATATAATTGACTACAGGGAGGGGAGAGGCAGTGATGGTGTCTTTTACTAGCCTTTGAAATTACTTTGCTGCCAGTTGCTCGTGGACAGTTGTCTGACTTTCCAAAACTTCAATCTTGGAAGGTGCCCGTTGGTGCAAAAGGCACTCTGCCATCACAGAATAAACCAGCAATACTGTGAGAAGAATGAATGAAGAAACATGTTTTCCTATGCATATAATGGATACAGAATAAATGAGCTCACCATTTTTTTCTGGATTTGAAAGTGCCTGAAGCGTGTTTAAGAATCTAGAGAGCCCAAATCAAGACATAACTGCCTTTTCCCCCTGCAGTACCCAAACAGTATTGGCAAGGAGTTACTTACTACCAGTACCTCCTGTTGCTTCTCTATTTTACATCCCTTTCCCCCTTCCATGTATTCCAAACAATGTAAGGGGAGATGGATAATGAGCTGGCATTTCATCTCCTAGGATGATGCTTTGGTGAACTGAGCAGTGAATTGGGATTTGCTCCTATTTCTGAATGACAGAAACATCCATGGACTTAAACAGCAGAGGAGAATCCTGCCGCTGCTGCCTCCTCAGTATGAGGAAACTTAATCCCAGTGCTCGCTGAAAGCCTTACAAGTGCGTTTAAAATCAATCAGCTGTTTTCATGCCCTTTGCACTACTAGTCACCATGAATAGAAGTGTGTTTCTTCTTCATAGGCATTAGGTAGGATTTGGAATTTTGTGTTGGATATCTGAATCTGGTGCCACCACCTCAATTGCAAATAACCTCCAAGTCTAAACTTGTGGGTTTTTTACAGCCAGGGAAGTGTTTATGAGCCCTGAAGTTTTATTCCTTGCTGCAGAACAACCACCACTATCTACAGCTCTGCTGGGCTAAGAAAGACTAAGCTACAAGGGAGACTTATTGAGGGATATCTGTGGGTGAAATCATAAATTTCTTGGTTTGTCCTGCTTCTTCATTCCTTCACACTGCTACAAGGAAAGGAGTAACCTTACGTTTTTTTAGTCCAAAGGAGCAGTTCTGAACTGGAAAACTCAGTGCACACAGACTCTCATACATTTACAGCAATAATAATAGACATTTCAGATAGGAAGTGCTGTGATGTTTGTAGTGATAAACATGTACTGTGGGAAAGGGAATATGGCGGAAGCAGAGACAGGAAGCAAATTTTCATTCAAGGAAGTTGGGATTGTGCTTTCTGTGGTGGAAGAGCAATGTTCCTGACCTTGTAAATCCCAGCATCAGTTTTGTTCACCTCCAGCCTTGAATTGTGCAAGCAAGATTTTGCTCAGAATGTTCACTACTGACCTTTTGGTCTGACCATTCAAGATCGTTATGAAAATGACCTTCAGAAATCAATAATATGGTTTATACTAGTGTCTGTTTGTAGTTATTTTAAAACATAGTATTTCAATAATTTAAAAAGAAAATCAGAAGCACTGAACTTTCTACATTTTGTAACATTATTTTGTATATAATGTATATTTATAATCAAAAACAGAAGTGTAAATATGTTTATTACTTATCATGTTATGTTTTTATGTGATGACAAAGTTTGAATTTTATTTTTTTTTCAAATAATGAAAATACTTTCCTGCTACTGCAAAGTTTGGTGTGGTTTCTCATTTTATGACTTGAGTTTCATGATCTTCCAATGTTTACAGGAAATCTCTTTGTCATAGTGGCTGAGTTCTAACAGGTCCTGTAGTAATATAAATTTGTTGCTTGGCATTACATAACATGTGCAAAGTTCACAAAGTTTCTGGTGAATGAATTCAGTTTATTTTTTTAGTTGATAAGCTGCTTTGATGTAAGAATTCTTACATTTTTAATCTAGAAGTGTAATAAAGCCAAGCTTTTTACATAGTCCTTAGAATAAGGACAAAACCCTGGCCTATATTAGTTCTTACACAACAATAGAAATTACATCTGTTGTTCATTCTGGAAAAGGATTCAGGAATAAATAAACTCACTTTTCAACTTTATATTCTATTAACAAGCGACAAAGTTCCTTTGCTGGCTTCTTACCTTTCTCTAACAGAGTTCAGGATGTATCAGGATGTATCAGAGCAGCTGTCTATTCCAAAATGCTTTAAACAGGATGCAAAGTAAATACGATAAAATGTGTGGGAGAAAACAGAAATTGGAAACTGCATATAAGACAACTAATTGAATTATTTTCAGTATTAGGTCACAGCATTGTTACAGATCCGGGCAGGCTTCCAGATTTCGGCTTCCCCAAATAATGTATTTAATTATTAAATTTGTATCTTTCCTCCCAAAAGAGGGCAGGGCAGAGCAACATCAGTGATAAAACAATACAGTGGAAACATCTTCAAAACATCTAAAAACCTGTAAAACAATAACATACCGTACTTCCACAGCTAATACTGTCAAGGTTACTAGGAAAAGTATTCTTCACCCATCGGGTGCCTGGGTAAACAGGATTGTTTTAAAATTCTTTCTGAAAGTTAATGCGGGAGATAGATGCACCTCAGCAGAGAGGGCATTCCCCAAATGGGAACTGCAATGAGAAGGCCCTGTCATGGGTCAGCGTCAACCAAGCAGCACCCTGCACCTAAACAGCTTCGGTCCAGTATACCTGAAGGAGTGTCTCCACCCCCATCGTTCAGCCTGGACACTGAGGTCCAGTGCTGAGGGCCTTCTGGCGGATCCCTAACCACGAGAAGCGAAGTTACAGGGAACTCGGCAGAGGGCCTTCTTGGTAGTGGCACCCGCCCAGTGGAACGCCCTCCCACCAGATATCAAAGAGAACAACAACTACCAGACTTTTAGAAGACATCTGAAGACAGCCCTGTTTAGGGAAGCTTTTAATGTTTAACAGACTGCTGTATTTTAATACTTTGTTGGAAGCCGCCCAGAGCGGCTGGGGAAACCCAGCCAGATGGGAGGGGTATAAATTATTTATTATTTATTATTATTATTATTAATTATTTTATTATAACAGGGCTGCCTCTACTGCTTATAGGACTTGATAATCATGCCTTGGCAGAAATGGCAGGGGAAAGTGCCCTGGGGTTTAATGCTGCTGCTGGTGGTGGTTTTACCTCCCCGTTTTCTGGATGTTTCTCAGTAGTAGTAAATAATACAGCAGGAGGTTTAGGACCGTCTTCACGCCGATCATGAGTGGCAAAGGCACTGCTAACTTGTTACTCATAAAAATCTCAGGATGTTGGCTAATTAGCGATAGGTATACTACAGTTATTACGGCCCTTAAAGTAAGACAAATGTTAAGCATTATCTACCTGAGCTGCAGGAGTTGGATTGAAGCCCATGAAGCCAATGGAATGGAATGATTTTAAATCCAAGTATTTTGTTATGTGGGTTGCTGTGCATTGTCTCTTCTCAAACAAAATCTTTCTTCAAAACAACTTGAAATTGCAAACCCAGAGGGTGGAGTTCAACGTCACACTATTAACATTCTCTCTGTGTAAGCATATCAGCTGGCCAAATGGAGTGATCCTCCCCCTGTGTGTTGCTCTGGGGTTCTCCTGACCTCCCAACACCAGAGGAGGGGAAAGCCCTGTTGCAAGGGTGGAAGGATTAAGGTTAGGGCTGTCCTCTGATGGGGTTCATTAGGTGAATCCTGCCTATAATTCATAACACATCATTAAACAAGTAATAACAACTATTAATGAGCAGTTCTTATTGTGCCCTTATTTTTAATGATACACAGTTTTGTTTACCTTCTTAAAAACTCTGTTTGCCTCTTTTATTCTTTGCTTAGTAAAATCAGCTGAAAATCCTAATCAGTCTCCTTGACTACCATTTGAGGCAAACAGTAATAAAGATGGGAGAAGTGAAAAGATCCCTCCCATCCCCAAACACTCACCCTGCAGAGCAAATTATGAAAAACAAGCCATTGACAAAAAGCAGAGCAGATGCTGCTGATTTGCAGCCCTTCCTTGGCAATGTGAAATAAACCCAACAGATGCTTCTCTTAATTGAACGCACGGATTACATACAGAGAAAGAGAGAGTCCAGCTTCAAACAAAAACAGCTAAACAACAAAATAGTCAGGGAGCTCTCTCCACAGCTTAGCAAACAGGGCTGAGACCCAAATCTGGCTTCTCAGTCTCAAGACAAAGCACAAAATCATATCAAGGAAAGACAGGGCTGAGAACTATGTCCATTGAACCCTGATGAAAAAGGCTTTATATGTGAATTCTGCGAAACAAACAAGAGCTCTAAAAGAAACTATATATACCACTACCAACTAAGCATGAACTCCTAAGGAGATTAAAGAAAAAGAATGCAAAGTATTATTGCTTTAAAGTGAACCATATGAGAGAACCTGTACACATCCAACTGCAGGATAAGACATCCCTGACTTTTCTCCCAAACCTCCTAAGGTTGCTAGTACAGTGGTACCTCGGGTTACAGATGCTTCAGGTTACAGACGCTTCAGGTTACAGACGCCGCTAACCCAGAAATAGTACCTCGGGTTAAGAACTTTGCTTCGGGATGAGAACAGAAATCGTGCTCCGGCGGCAGCGGGAGGCCCCATTAGCTAAAGTGGTACCTCAGGTTAAGAACAGTTTCAGGTTAAGAACGGACCTCCGGAACGAATTAAGTTCTTAACCCGAGGTACCACTGTACAGTAAAACCTTCACATGGGATATTCTTAGCTAAACTGAAGGGACAGCTCAAGGATTTATTTCTTTCTTTTAAGTAATCCACAGAAATTGAATTGCAGGATTATTTGGACATGAGTTGAAGTTCAGGTGAGTGATATA